ATACTTTTTTACTAACAACCCTAACCCTAAACCCTAACCTAACCCTAAAAAAACTCTAACGAAAAGGCCCGAAAATTTTTAAAATTTCATAATAAATAGGTCAAAATTTCAGCATCATTCCCGACCGACATTTATCATAGCGGTTTGCAAAAAGGTGTGACCTCTGCAGATCATAATGTCATGTAAAATCACGAAAAATCAGCCGATTCTAGTAGATTTTTCGATTCTTAAAGAATTTTAAAGATTCCGAATAACATAAACGTTATTGATCGAAAATTATGATCAATAGGGAATTAAAATCTCAGAAATTTTTCCGCTATCATCACGAAATCACAGGGTTACACCTTTTTGCAAACTGCCATAATTCTCTGCATCGATATTAGCGGAATTAAAATAAAAATCAAATTATAGTTACATAATTAAATGATTATCAATTATCGTGTTATCTTTGTTAAAGTTTAACATTAAACTACTATCAGATTTTTGATATTTTCGAACGCTTTTGTGTTCATTCTTTTTAACACCAACTTCTTCTTTAAATAACGCCAAGCTCTCTCCTTTTCAGGATCAATGTTTGCATAAACACCCATATCATCCACTGACAAAGTATCAACGGGTCTCATTTTGATGACGAAAGCTTCACCACCCATCAAATTAGAGCTACCAGGCAGAACTATTTCATACATAAACGCTAAATTAGACATTGATCATATGATACATAAACTAATTCAGAGTTTCTACATTGTCCTAGCTAATGGTTGCTCACGTAGAAAAGTTGCGTTTATCACTAAATAGTTACAAATGCAAGCGCTCTTGTACGCGTCATATCATAATAATAGTCAGGTAAGTAATCCTTCTTACCCAACGAAGTTGTAACACCACCGGATGCGATAATCCTAATTGCTGAAATGATATACCCAATACATGAATTATGTGAATATTATAGGTTACAGTTAGTTAATTCAATTCATCTTAACTTTACTAACCTAGATCACTTGGATTGATAGCGTCCTGAGCGCGAACCTAAAATGGAAAAGACCTTGTTAGGGTATTTTATTCAGATGGCAAAAATTAAAATGAACCAAATGATTGAATGCTAACATAAGATCGGATCGGATCTGTGATTTCGTTTGTCTCCATAGTAGCGGACAAATATGGCCAAGAGCTGAGACCGACATGACTAGAAATTATTTCAGAGTCAAAGATCAATAAAATAATAGATCATTGGGTTTTTTTTTTATTTTTTGTTACCTATGCATATCAACAAGTCCCGGTGTAATATATTTTTCTTTAACATCAATTACAATAGCATCCTCATCAATAAGATTCGGTCCAATATCGTGAATT